GAAAGGTGGCATCTTGAAGGGATTATTTGCTCTTCCTTTTGGTGTACAGGTTATTGGACACAAAAAAATACTTTAAAGCTGTTATTTCTGCGTTTTTCACTAGGACGTCATTTTCATATTTTTGGCATCCTCAACTTGAAAGAATGAAAGCAGAGTCCTTGTAACCTTGTAACAATTGTTTCTCCACAGGTAAATTTTTCTCTCACAGGTGCATTTCAGTGCTATTCTAACAACTTCAAAAATCATTCCATACTTGTTAAACGAAAACTGTACCCGTTATTTCGCGATGTCCGCATACGTAGATAAATTATTCCTGACCATTGAGGCCACTGACGTAAAATGAGTTTTTTTTCCCCCAACAAATGCTGCTGAAGTGAGCACATGTCAAAATTTCATATTATATCTCCAGTAGCTAGCTAGCGTTCCGAAGCCTTGACAATAACTCAACATAACCCTTTTACGTTGAGCTATTATCAAGGCCTCGGAACGGAACGAAAACCGGAACAAAACGATTTTGAATACTCTGGAATTTTGGTAATTTTATTCCATGCCGTTCCAAGTACCCAGGTGACGCAGGAAACATTTTTTCTGAACCAGATCGAACCCCTCCTGCAATGGGCAGCATTTCGGGATGAAGATGGTCTTCATGCTCCGTCCCATCCTTCAGGGATAAGAACCTCGAAGCGTGTTATTTTCATCTCAATGTTACTTGGAATTTCGTTCCGAAAATCTGGATAATCATGTTATTGAACCCCCGCAGCCTACCCCTGATGCACCAAGCTTCATCAGCAGCCGCTGTCAGTTACGGGAAAGAAAACCAAAGCCGTGCCTTGTGTAAGTCATAGTGAGAAAAGCAGATAAACAAGGTAATAAGTGAAGCGCTTCGACGTGAGATAGCGAGAGTCGAAGAGGACTACATCGAGCATGGAGAAAGGCGCTCCTGACGGTCTTCTGAGATTTCGTTCAAGTTACTGTTGCCGACGCAAGGCCCACTCAAGTTTAAAAGAAAGCGGAAGAGAAACGGAACTTCAATCTCTAGAGTTTCCTTCCGACGAAGGCTGGGATTAAGTCTGAAATAAATTGGAGCAACCTCTGAAGTTGGGTTCGCCAGTCATTAATTAAAAAAGGCTAATCAAAACTATCTGCAAAGCCAGCCAAAAAGAGAAGAATTTTAGTGGTATAGAAGTAGGAAATGTCAGGATGAATCGCAAGCAGGAGCGATTGGGTCACGGCCACCACCAAAGCGAAATCTCTTGTTTAAAGTTCTTCTCGTGGTTTGTTAAAGTTCTTCATAGGTCTTGCCTCGGAGCAATGAATTTTGACGAAATATCAAAGATGCCTTTAAAACATATCCATCTATGCCGTGTTTCGTAAAACCAGCTCCAGTGGGAACGGAGGAATACTGACTAAAAACCGTTGGTCTTAGTTTATGCCCTACATCGTATACATTCTTGCCTCTGCACTCATCGCACCATCTCTTCGTCATCCTTTCTACCATAGCCACACACCTTATTCTTATCATAGCAAGCAGGAAGAGCAAGGAGACGGAGCAGAGGGGGTGAGTGAGTCCAGAGCCAAATAAGGGCAGACAGTCTGGGAGTCGTCGCGTCCTTCGATGTCACGGCGACACAGTTCGCCCGCACTCATTTCCACAGAGAAGCACCCCCCTCCCCCACCCCCCTTTCCGAGTCCCCAACGTTCTGGAACTTTCTGAGATTATCCTCCTATAAAGGATTTAGTAACTTAGCTTAATTCCATTATTGAGATTGATAGATTCGAGATGCAAGCAATATTTTTCCTAGAGGCAGACGACTCCCAAGATTCTTATACTGTACTTGCCTTATCGCCAAGTCATTTCTCATGGTTCTTTGATGTGAAAAGATTTAAAAGTTGCCAGGTTTTGCCTTTGAGGTCAGAGGTGAATCAATGCTAGATCGGAGGCCTAAGACATGTCAGTCAGTCAGACCACTGACAAATCAAGATTGTGTCCTGAAAAACGCTTATCGTCTTACCAAGTCCACTGCACGCCCAATAGAAAAAAGTTACTTTACTGTGATCGCCACAAACTTGTTTCGTTTTGAAGAGAGCTGAACGGATTGACGATGCTCCGGAGTAGATCTGGGTAAAACATCGCCAGGACAGGAACCAGTCGAGTCACGCTGAAGTAATCGGAACAGGTGACTTGGAATCTTGACTCGCGAATAAGAGATTAAATATGAAGTTCCTGAAGGAGTCTTCATTTGGTCATAGGGTAGAATCGTCCTTACAATTCCATACATGAGTATATCAGAAGACATGTTTCACCTTTGGCACTTTTTTTTCCCTCAAACACGTCCACGTGCGCTATTGCACCAATCAAGAGTGTCAGTAAAAATTAAATATCCACCTTCGATATCACCAGCTTGGGATGATTAATTGATAATTCAACCCCAATACGATGTAGAACGCCTATACCGGCGACGAGAATTGGTGCCGCACGCCAAGCACGAATGTGTTTGTCTTCTTTCACGTTTGAGTTTCCCGCTGTTCTCACTTTCTGCTGGCATCGTCTGCTGCTGCGGAGAGTCCATCAGAAGGGCATCGCCCCCAGCGAGACTAAGGCCATGAGCCAAGTGTGTGGTGTCTTCATTTTCCGTCGGATGCGAGTCGACTTGTTCTCCATCCATGGCATTTGCTTCACTTCTCCCGTCGTCATCATAACCGCTGCTGTAATCTGAATAGTCTTCGTCCCCTGAAGGTGTGGTTCCATCATATTCTCTCACAGGGTCGTCCTTCTCCTAGTGCAATATTACACATCCACATGACGATAAATATTTCCAAGAGTAGCTGCAGTGATAGATGAAGGGGGCTAACAGTGAAACAGAACACACCGTTTGCAGTGGCATCACTTGTTGCAACGCAGCTGGCAGCGTTAGCGCCAGAGAGCGGCTTGACGAGAAGAAAATAGCAACGAGCGCCTGTAATATTGAAAGACAAAAAAATCAATATACATTATTTCAACATTCGCATGGTAGAGGAAGATACTAATGAATTCAGTATCTTCCTCAGTTTCATACGATACCAGCAATGAAAACTTCATCTCCTTATTCCATTTCTCCGATATATATATATGCTTAGGTCCAGTAATTGCTATGTCGTAGAATGAAACATGCAATTTTTTTTTATCAATATTCAAAAGAAAAATTAACATTGTTTGTAACAGCTTCACCATTTCGAAGAACACTAGTCTAATGAAAAGCTTGCAAACTCAGCATTGAACTGGGCGTAGTATTTACCGCGTATATATGAAATAAACGTATAAATGAGTGACTAAATCATCGCCAAGACACCAAGCAATCGCGGATATATCACTTGGAAAGGAAAATTTAGCGAAGGAGACGTGAATATGATGGCAATTTTAACCCAGAAAGTGGGCATGGCGTATTTATCCGTCATGGTTGGGGGTTTGACATTTCGCTGCGCTATGCTTCAAGTTTGAGTTAAATGTACAGGTAAATGAAACACTGGATATTGGAGTATAAACTCGAAAAAAAGATGCAATTTCTCCCAAATAAACAGTAGTTATTGCTCTCACAAGAAAAAAACATGTTCACTCCTGTGGTAGACTTTTGCCTAAGAAATTTCTTACAAAAAGGTTTCATGCGTTTGAAGCGTGAAACATGAGAGAATCATGAACATTTTCTTTCTGCTTTCGACCTGCGAATGGGGGTCGTGACTTTAAGAGAAACGCTATCAGGCTTAACGTGCGTTTATTTTTAAAGAAGGAAAGGCTCCCCATGCAGAAACTCACAATGGCAACGATCATTTCGATGAGATGGAGTCTTGCACAAAATTCGAACTCTAGGATGACAGCAGAATCGACAATCGGAACGAATCTCGCTCTACGGATAGTGGAGCTGCCACACACGAGCCGTGTTGAGACAGTCGTCAGGCCCAAACGACTGACGATTCGTCGTCGTCATCCCAGCAACGGATTGGAGGAAGCCCTCCACAATCCTCTCCCCCTTCACCCTCACATTGCATCTCACAGGAATGGAAGGCTTCTGCGATGAAGGTCTCACGATGAAGGTCTCACGGGCGAAACTAGACTTCATACCATCTTCACGAGGAGACAATACTTGCAAGTAATGCTAGGCTGGTTTACTTAGCTGATGAGACTGAAATTCTCCGAGCACGTTCAGTCAAATGTTGAGGAATTCAGCTGGCCCTGAGACTTTATTTGGCATTGCCAATTTCTCCTTCCAATGTCGGTTCAGACATAATTTTTCAGCAGTGTTTAAAATTGGGCCTGGAAATATTGGGAATTTCCGATTGCCCAGAAGCGGAATATTTAAATTATTCTGGACCTTATCGCATCCCAACCTAGAACTCGATCTTAACTTGGAACCTTGGACCGTAGAACTCGTGGCTTTTGCCACAATTAATTGATGCAGTTAGGAAACNTATTTTTCCTAGAGGCAGACGACTCCCAAGATTCTTATACTGTACTTGCCTTATCGCCAAGTCATTTCTCATGGTTCTTTGATGTGAAAAGATTTAAAAGTTGCCAGGTTTTGCCTTTGAGGTCAGAGGTGAATCAATGCTAGATCGGAGGCCTAAGACATGTCAGTCAGTCAGACCACTGACAAATCAAGATTGTGTCCTGAAAAACGCTTATCGTCTTACCAAGTCCACTGCACGCCCAATAGAAAAAAGTTACTTTACTGTGATCGCCACAAACTTGTTTCGTTTTGAAGAGAGCTGAACGGATTGACGATGCTCCGGAGTAGATCTGGGTAAAACATCGCCAGGACAGGAACCAGTCGAGTCACGCTGAAGTAATCGGAACAGGTGACTTGGAATCTTGACTCGCGAATAAGAGATTAAATATGAAGTTCCTGAAGGAGTCTTCATTTGGTCATAGGGTAGAATCGTCCTTACAATTCCATACATGAGTATATCAGAAGACATGTTTCACCTTTGGCACTTTTTTTTCCCTCAAACACGTCCACGTGCGCTATTGCACCAATCAAGAGTGTCAGTAAAAATTAAATATCCACCTTCGATATCACCAGCTTGGGATGATTAATTGATAATTCAACCCCAATACAATGTAGAACGCCTATACCGGCGACGAGAATTGGTGCCGCACGCCAAGCACGAATGTGTTTGTCTTCTTTCACGTTTGAGTTTCCCGCTGTTCTCACTTTCTGGTGGCATCGTCTGCTGCTGCGGAGAGTCCATCAGAAGGGCATCGCCCCCAGCGAGACTAAGGCCATGAGCCAAGTGTGTGGTGTCTTCATTTTCCGTCGGATGCAAGTCGACTTGTTCTCCATCCATGGCATTTGCTTCACTTCTCCCGTCGTCATCATAACCGCTGCTGTAATCTGAATAGTCTTCGTCCCCTGAAGGCGTGGTTCCATCATATTCTCTCACAGGGTCGTCCTTCTCCTAGTGCAATATTACACATCCACATGACAATAAATATTTCCAAGAGTAGCTGCAGTGATAGATGAAGGGGGCTAACTGTGAAACAGAACACACCGATTGCAGTGGCATCACTTGTTGCAACGCAGCTGGCAGCGTTAGCGCCAGAGAGCGGCTTGACGAGAAGAAAATAGCAACGAGCGCCTGTAATATTGAAAGACAAAAAAATCAATATACATTAATTCACCATTCGCATGGTAGAGGAAGATACTAATGAATTCAGTATCTTCCTCAGTTTCATACGATACCAGCAATGAAAACTTCATCCCCTTATTCCATTTCTCCGATATATATATATGCTTAGGTCCAGTAATTGCCTAGTCGTAGAATGAATCATGCAATGAATTCAAAAGAAAAATTAACATTGTTCGTAACAGCTTCACCATTTCGAAGAATACTAGTCTAATGAAAAGCTTGCAAACTCAGCATTGAACTGGGCGTAGTATTTACCGCGTATATATGAAATAAACATATAAATGAGTGACTAAATCATCTCCAAAACACCAAGCAATCGCGGACATATCACTTGGAAAGGAAAATTTAGCGAAGGAGACGTGAATATGATGGCAATTTTAACCCAGAAAGTGGGCATGGCGTATTTATCCGTCATGGTTGGGGGTTTGACATTTCGTCGCGCTATGCTTCAAGTTTGAGTTAAATGTACAGGTAAATGAAAAACTGGATATTGGAGTATAAACTCGAAAAAAAGATGCAAATTTCTCCCAAATAAACAGTAGTTATTGCTCTCACAAGAAAAAAACATGTTCACTCCTGTGGTAGACTTTTGCCTAAGAAATTTCTTACCAAAAGGTTTCATTCGTTTGAAGCGTGAAACATGAGAGAATCATGAACATTTTCTTTCTGCTTTCGACCTGCGAATGGGGGTCGTGACTTTAAGAGTAACGCTATCAGGCTTAACGTGCGTTTATTTTTAAAGAAGGAAAGGCTCCCCATGCAGAAACTCACAATGGCAACGATCATTTCGATGAGATGGAGTCTTGCACAAAATTCGAACTCTAGGATGACAGCAGAATCGACAATCGGAACGAATCTCGCTCTACGGATAGTGGAACTGCCACACACAAGCCGTGTTGAGACAGTCGTGAGGCCCAAACGACTGACGATTCGTCGTCGTCATCCCAGCAACGGATTGGAGGAAGCCCTCCACAATCCCCTCCCCCTTCACCCTCACATTGCATCTCACAGGAATGGAAGGCTTCTGCGATGAAGGTCTCACGATGAAGGTCTCACGGACGAAACTAGACTTCATACCATCTTCACGAGTAGACAATACTTGGAAGTAATGCTAGGCAGGTATACTTAGCTGATGAGACTGAAATTCTCCTAGCACGTTCAGTCAAATGTTGAGGAATTCAGCTGGCCCTGAGACTTTATTTGGCATTGCCAATTTCTCCTTCCAATGTCGGTTCAGGCATAATTTTTCAGCAGTATGTTTAATATTGGGCATGGAAATATTGGGAATTTCCGATTGTGGTCTTCGCCTTATAAATTTAATAAGACCTGGAATAGCGTAGGGTTGGATCTTGAGCTAGAATTGAACCTTGGAACCTGGCATCTTGAGCACCGAAAACGGTGTTAATTAACTACGTCAATCCTTTGGAAACGATAACATATCTGTCACAAAAAATGCCCAATGATGTTAAGCAAAAAATCACTAGGTATGACTTAACTTTGCATAAAAGATTTGGTAAAGCTTTGTAACTACACCATACGATATTACATCAGAAGGACATGTTGAACTTTTGAAAATACTATATCCACGTGCAAAATAAATTGCAGCATTTACCTACGATATCATCATTCATACCAAGGGATCGTATTGTGCCTATATCGGCAACTGTAGATTCTGCCTCTCGAAATGGACAGAGGTGTGTGTCTTCTTTCACGCTTGAGTTTCCTGCTGCTGTTCTCAGGTTTTGCTGGCTTCGTCTGCTGCTGCGTAGAGTCCATCAGGGTGGCATCGCCTCCAGAGAGACCAAGACCGAGACCAAAGAGCATGGTATCTTCATTTTCCATTGGATACGAATTAACCCTTTCTCCTTTATCGGCATCTCCTTCACCTCTCTCGTAGTCATCGTAACCGCTTCTGTAATCTGAAAAGTATTCCTTCCCTGAAGGCGTGGCTCCATCATATTCTCTGACAGCGTCGTCCTTCTAGTACAATGTAACCCATCCACATGACGATAAATATTTCCAAGAGTAGTTGCAGCAATAGATTAAGGGGTTAACAGAGAAACAGAACACACCGATTGCAGTGGCATCACTTGTTGCCACGCAGCTGGCAGCGTTTGCGCCTGACAGCGGCTTCACGAGAAGAAAATCGCAACGAGCAACTCTAATATTGAAATACAAAAAAAATCAATATACAATAATTCACCATTCGCATGGTAGAGAAAGATACTGATGAATTCGGTATCTTAATCAGTTTCATACGATACCAGCAAAGAAAACTTAATCCCCTTATTCCATTTCTCCGATAATATGCTTAGGTCCAGTAATCGCTATGTCGTAGAATGAATCATGCGATTTTTTGGGTACATTCAAAATAAAAATTTGCATTGTTCATAACAGCTTCACCCTTTCGGAGAATACTATCTATAGTTGAATGAAAAGCTTGCAAACCCGGCATTGAACTGGGCGTAGTATTTATTGCGTATATATGAATTTAAAATATAAATAAATAGCTAAAGTATCTTCAAAACACTAAGCAATCCAGGATTCATTCATCGGAAAGGAAAATTTAGCTAAATAGATGAGAAAACGATGGCAATTTTAACCCCTAATTGGGCACGACGTACATATCCGGTATGTTGAAACGCTCCCCAGGGAGGTTTGACATTTCCTCATCATCATGCCATATTTAAATTTGGTGGAATGTAAATTAAAATTTAGACATGGGAGTATAAACTCGAAAAATAGTTGTAAGTTTCTCGCACAAACACTAGTTATTGCTCTCACAATAAACACTTTGACTCCAGTGGTAGACATCTGTCCAAAAAATTCCCTGCCAAACATTTTAACTCGTTTAAAGCATGAGAGACTCATGAACCCTTTTCTTTCTGCTTAGGATCTGCGAATGGGGGATCATGACTTTAAAAGAAACGCTATCTGACTTAACTAGCGTTTATTTTTAATGAACGAAAGGCTCCTCATGCGGAAACTCACAATGGCGATGATCATGGCGAGGAGGAGATAGAGACTCACAAAATTTGGACTTCAGTATACCAGAAGTACTGAAAACACGAACAGATCTCTCCTACGGAGACTGTCGAAGAAGCAGAGCTAGTACACTCGGTAGACCCAGAAGACTGCTCCAATATGAAGGACGTGGAAGTTCACGCTATCCTCAAGCACAATTTTCTTCCTGTAAAAACAAATAAACATGCATTGAGACATCTGGATTCCATAAGCCTCTACCGATCCTACGGATGACTGACGGCAGGCTGAGGCCAGGTTTCTCAAGAATCCCATCTCTTGCCTTACAAGGCAACTTTTGCAATCCTGGTTCGAACTTGGGAGTTCTGAGAAGTGAACCGGAAAGTGGAATCTGTATTCTTAACTGCATCAAGTAACATATCGGTCAATCTGGGCAATGATGCTACCTTAGCCTGATTCGCTGGGTTTACAAGACTATGCCTTTGGAGGCCATGGGGTTGGCGTAAGGGCATGGGACGATGCGTTTAACGCCATTACGCCGTTTAACGCGAGTGAGATAAGGGTAAGCTCTATCCTTGATATCCAACTTGAAAATTTAAAAGCTCTCTCTTGCAAAAGTAATCCCTCTCACCCGTATACACAATTCATCAATGAATTACGGACTGGAAGCTTCTTCCACTGACTGAAGTACCAAGTTCATTACCATGTACTAGTCTGTATTTAATATCTGTATCTCAAAAACGGCGAAATCGATCGCAAAACCAGGAAGTCAACCAAAAGAGATTTTCATCACGAGTCAATACACCAAGTGGCTCTTCCTAAATTGAGCGCGTTTTCATGCAAATCGAGCAAAACCTTTGGATCATATAGTCTCATTAAAACTGTCTGGTTAAATTTTTTAAAGCCAGGTGGCGAACGTATCTCAAGCAATCGAGAAATATGCCTTGTAAATTTGACCCGACCCCCTCTTGTTCCCAATTAACCTGTTCACCCAATATGGTTTTGGCAAGAGCGTCCATGTATATGAAGATCACAGGGTGAGCATTCCCCCTCCAGGAATCCACGTTTTGACAGGGGAGGACGGGTAGGAGAAACATGAAGAAACCAGACAGTACAGGGCTTTTCCATCAATTTCGTGGAAATGACGACTTCATTTGAAAACGACTTCTGAATTCGATGTCCTGTCCATGTAACCAGCTGGGTATGCTCCGCGGCATATAATTGGGAATGTAGACCCTCTAGTGCGTAATGTACGTTTTGTTCAAGAATTTTCCTGCGATATCGTGTCAAAGACACATCTCGGCCTGCAACACAGTGGCAATGGCAGCTGAAAGAGAACCTAATCTATCTATTGACCTCTGATATGAATAGAGAGAAGTTAATTAAATGAGACGGGTATCGGAGAGTCATTTACCAGTAAGTGATACAGCTTTCCACGATGAAACCAGCTCCGTGTTTCTGGCCCTATTATGGTCCTCATTTCATCAAGAAAGTTTCAAAGGTTTCAATGGGAGAGACCACCATTCATCATCTTCAAATGAACTGAAATCCATCCGTGAGAGAAATCGCAGCAAATAGAGTCATGTTCTCTTTGAGTATCAACCCAGTCCGGTCTCTTCGATGGACAAAAATGAGAAAGCCTAACTGCAAGCATATTTCAGTGTGGAAATTGAAGTAGAAACCCTCCTTTCATGAACTGAATAATTGCATGGTTTAGCTCATAGGTTCATGTTGGCCGTCGTAATGATAGAGAAACCAAAATCTCTTTCCTGTAGATGGGTGGATATCTGACTATTGATGAACCTTGTTCGCATCAAAATTAACTAAATATATATATATATTTTTTTTTTTAATTTGGACGACGACATATTGTTTTCAAACGGTATGACCATGCCGATGTCTCGAGGCGATGAGTGCAGAACGCGAAAAGTAAAGGGAGGTGTCAAAAAAGGGGGAAGTTCTTTCTCTTCGATCAGATAAAATACCGGATGGAGGTAGATGCATTTTAAGAAATGCTTTCCATCGGAGTGAGCCCTGAGGGGAAAGAGGGACGGGGAGACGCTATGCGACCCCTTCGCCCTAGCTCATTTTTCAGGAAGGGTTGGACCCCCCTAAGGGGATTATGAGCCTATTTCGAGTTTCTCTGGACAACGTTGTTGATGGTGTCAATAGCGATAGTGTCTCCAAAGTGCCAGTGAATGTTGAACTCACATTCTCATAACGAGATCCTGATATTTCTTCCCAACATGGGAGAGATCGAGTTTCTGTTTTGGAACAAATTTCACTTAATGAGACGTATAGTCTTTAAATGATGACCAAAGGCCGGACGCTAAAAAGTCAGAGGATGACTTATGGAGCGTCTTATCCTCCAGGAGCAGCATCTCCATAGAGGGCATCTCGTGCCCATGACTCTCTTTGCATGGGTGACACGGGCTCCTGATGAACGGGTTGCCTGGATATTGAGAAGGAAATTCACCTGCGGGGTTCTGGATTCAACAGAAAACGTTGGTAGCTTTGCAAGTCAGGAGGGCCGCGACATGCTGGGTAGCTCCAGCAAAGTCAGGGGAGACCCCTCCTCATGGTTAACCCTGGGAGTTTAGCAGGTTTTCTGAACATACTGGTGACAAACTGAAGTACTATGGGCCTCAAAATTGTTGGGTAGTTCTGACGAGGACCCTTATATAAGAATGGAGGCGTTGAAGGCTGAGGGAGTTTCTTTGGAGTGCTCGTGAGCGGGAGGGACATAGATCCTGGCCGTATGTGCCTCAGCTTTGCAGAGAACGCGATCCAAACCTGAATATGGGGCAAACACTCAAAAAACCCAACTATGGATGTTTCCACTAAAGGTACAGCACCCACTTTGAAGGAAGAAGGAAGGACTACCACTGTTATAAAGAAGTAATTGGGAAGAGTTTCCTCTTTAATCTCACCCATGAAGAAACAGCCAGGAATCGTTCTGGAAGTTAGGAGCGTGGTGGACTCAATAAATGACATATATAATGAATAGATTGAGATTGAGATAGGGGAAGAATGGCCTTGTGGATGTCTATTCACATCTTCCCTCGCATGCGTCTGAATTGAGCATATTACAGATCCGACGTATCACCTTGATGATGAAGATCTGAATGCATTAAGATTTTTCCTAGCGTCGCATACTGATTTTTGCCCTCAAGAAAAATATTTTTAAAATCAGACACTTGATAACTATCAGTGTGGACTGACCAGAAAGAGATTTGCAATTCCTTTACCGTGGGGCGTTGGCGCAGGCAAAGTCAGTCATTGGACTTGCATGTACATGTACTTTGTAAACATATATGTACTATGAAATACTGAGCATCAATGCGTACGACAGTTTGGAGCAAGAACTATTTCTCCCACAACATTGCATTTTACAGCGTTCACAACCACATTCACCACCTGTTGTGTACCATACTGTGCAGCGCCAGTCAGCCATTTTCTTTGCTACGTCCATCGCACCTGATAAGGAGATAAGTATTTCCTAGTGCAAATAATTTCATGGAAACAATAACAATGAGGTTCCGTCTCATTGAAATGATGACGGCAAACAGATTGATTCCATTTCCGACACCGAGCACGTCACGAACATTAATTGGGAACCCTAGAATTCGACCTCAAAAGAAATCTCGAGGACGCCCTCACATAATCTCCGGGAAAAATAGGATTTGGCCTTTGAATTCGCATCCATGTGCGCATGTGCGGCGCCTTCTGTCTGCCTTGGTGTACGTCTGCCTCTCTCGGGCTCTCGTCGCGACTGTCGGATATAAATCTCGAGAAAAAATGGATTAAGAAAATGTAATAATAAAAGTAATGGAAGAGTCGGATGGCATAAATGCAGAAAAGAACACTATGGAGAGGCGGGGTATTGAATCCAGGGCTTTCTGAAGACCGGTCACATTTGCTACCATTACAATTCCGAACTCTAGTCATACGTCTTGCTCCCTTCCATAACACCACAACGGGAGAGAGAGGCATTCTTAGTACACTCTTCCCCCCTCCATACTAAGGGGGTATTCACACCTCCGATACAGTCTTTTCGGCAAGGACGTGTGAAAATAAGCGAGTAACGTCGGATTTGCACCTCGCCTCTGGAAGGAATCCCCCCAACTTCCTTCCAAAGAAAAGGAAATACATTTATGAACCTTGTACTAATTTACCCCGCAGGCATCCATTCATTCCTCCGCTTCTCGCCGGGCATCAATCGCTCTTCAC